TGGACCGCTACACAGGACAGATCAGAACCCTCCGCTCATTCACAGAGCACTGCACTAAAACCATGGATATACGGTGCGATCCGATGTGGTGATATCTCCGTATTCTTCACATATACGTACAATTTCCGGGAAATTCCGTATCGCATCCCCGGCAGATTCAGTTTTCGGATATCCCCGTATACGGACACAAATGGATCCTAAAAAAATCCCAAAATCCGGATACTTATCTGCGGCAGATCCCGAAAATATGTGACTCTGTTATCCCTCGGGATTCCAGCTTTAGATCTCTTTGCATTCTTGCCGCATCTTTGACGTATGGTTGGTTTCAGATTCACGCATATACGTGACAGATGTCTGTCGGATATTTACAGATTTTTATCTGCGAAGGATCCTGAAGTATGCGATCCCTCGGAGTTCCAGCTTCAGATCTCGTTGCATACTTGCCGCATTTTTGACGTATGGTTGGTTTCAGATTCATGCCTATACGTGACAGATGTCTGTCGGATATTTACAGATGTTTATCTGCGAAGGATCCTGAAAAATGTGTGCATGTGATCCCTCGGAGTTCCAGCTTCAGATCTCGTTGCATACTTGCCGCATCTTTGACGTATGGTTGCTTTAGATTCATGCATATACGTGACAGATGTCTGTCGGATATTTACAGATGTTTATCTGCGAAGGATCCTGAAGTATGCGATCCCTCGGAGTTCCAGCTTCAGATCCTTTTGCATACTTGCCGCATCTTTGGCGTATTACGTGGCAGATGTCAGTCGGATATTTACAGATTTTTCATTTATGCAAATTTGAGAATCTGATATACTCTGCCTGTAAATACAGGTTTGGCATGTAGGTAAGCCTTCAAGTAAAATAACTATATCTTAACATGTTTCCAATGGTTAGTTGTTTTTTTGTCTTGCACTCCATTTAGTTTTTATTTGTAATACGTGAAGTGCTTTATATAACTATTTAAATCTGCTATAGGCTACAAATAGTTGGCTTCTAAGATCTTTAACATTTTAAGATCACCCAGTTTTTTACATCAAAATTAATGAGTCTTTAATTTTGGTTTATGTACCATCATCATGATGTACAAATCACAAGCTGGACCAGTAAGCACATTACCATTTCAATAAGAACTATGAAAAATCAGTATAATAAACAGTTTATGAAGCAGTCTAGTAAATACACAGTGGTTTGTATCTTCATAACACATACTAATGCAAACATATCATAGACATGAAAACACTGACCATGACTTTCTTAAAGATTTTCTTTTTTTTATTAAAACACACACACACAAAAAAAAAACCCCTACGGTTTCATTTGTAAAAAAATCCAACCTACGGTTTCATTTGTAAAAAAAAATAGTTGTTGGTGCCTCTTGGAGGCTGCCTCAGGCTGCATTTCCCACTGGGCACTCTGCAATGTAGCCATCCATTCTGCAGGGCTTTGTTTGAAGCTCAGCAAGTTTGTACTGGCATCTGTCTAAAATGTCCTAGTTTTGCTGCTCTCCCATTCAGGTGGATAAACTTTCCATGTGTCTTTGTCTTCGTGTCGGTCTCGTACTCATAGGCATGTTGGCACCCCCTCATTCTTCATCATTTAAAATGGAGCGACCAACAGACCGCCGTGAATTCAAAAGCTTCAACAGAAAACACAGAAAACACAAGGTCAATAAGAGCACTTTTTAAAATGTATACATAACAAAAAGCAAATGCATCCATATCTCAATTCTTAGATTCTCAAACAAAAAGTTTACGGATGTTCCAAAAACCTTTTTTTTAATCTTCCCATATTGAATATTTTTAGTAACTCATATCTACCAATAGATGGCGCTTTAACACATCTTTACACGAGGACCCAGAATTTAATTAAAAGTTTTACTTCTTCTGCATTGCCAGAAACTATAGTTTCACACATCTACAATGATGTAATGTGAGACTAAAGCAAATCAGATATATTTTGCATTCTAATTCTAATTCTGTTTCCTCTAGGATTTTTTTTTATTTTTAGCTAGTTTAGTTTTAGCTTAACCTCAGTGCTAACAATGGCTCTTGGCTTGGTAGCCATTGGGGGTCCTCCCCCAGAAAATTTTGAATAAAATAGATGCCATTTCCTGCATTCTGGTGTATTTAACATCTAGTTTTACCTACATATGTAAACTATTCAATAAGTATTTTAGAGTTAATGGCAGAACAAGAAGTACCCTGAGACAAACATGCAGCATTAACACAGTGTGAACATTATTCAAGAATTGTTTCTATAAGAACATTATCAAATATTTTATGTGAACGTAAGATACTAGCAATCACAGCATTGTAAGAGGGGGACAGTTGAACCCGGAGGCCTCCACCTCTGTTTAATGATGGACGGTTTCTTTTCACAAAGATGGCCTCCTTTACTCCTCTCTCAGTCATCGTTCCTCTCTATCAAGGAGGAACGATGACTGAGTTTGTCTCAGCTCCTCAGACTGAAGAAATCTTTTTGATACAAAGAAGAATCTGTCCAGAGGAATTAATTTATTGAGCCTGCATCAGGACAATAATCTGTAAAGCTTTAGTATATTTGATAAGGAAAACTCATTTTGACTTAACCAATTAATATATAATTAATATATTGTCATAACTCAGAACAAATCTCCCCTTTTTACAAAGCCTTATGATCAATTCAGGCCAGTTTCATTAAAGGGTTGAATCATTTAACATCTCAAGACACTTTTCATATACAGCAGGTCTTCACCAGACTCATACTCTTCATTATATAATTATAATAATATTCAGTCAATGAGTACTCTTACCTGCCCACTCTGTGCTGCGTGATGTGGAGCTGCATCTTGGGTGCTACAAGACAAAGATTCAGTTATGTGGCGTTGCATTATAATATTATTTAAATTATATAACAGTATGTTAAGTCACAATGCCACACACCAACAGTTCATTGACTTGATAACTTGAACGGTGTTTTGCAGGAAAATCCAGGAAAGTATTCTAAGTTGATTTGTAGTTCTAAACATATTTAGTGGTCATTTTTTGTCCAACATTGATTACTTCCAGCCTAGATCACAATTATATTAGCAAATACACTTAGACAATGACATCATAAAACAGCTTTTAGAAAAGCAAATAGACACCTCTCACTGAGGAGTTGCCCAACAGTGGTCAGCAGCCACTGGTTATAGATGTCTCCCATTCCCCCTGTATGAGTGAAAAGTTGTACTGAGCAGAATAAAATGGACAAACAGCCTCAACTTGACGTGACGCTGACAACGCCATGTTGTAAAAGGTCGAGTAACACACCGGTAAAACTACATATTTTACGCTCTAACCACATGCTTGGTCAAAAATAATTAGAACTAAATATGTGAAGCAGCAACTTACTGAAAATCGTAGATCCGCTTGGCTTTGAATCAAACACGTCGCGTTATCCGAGAAGGACCTCGTTTGTGTTATCCCGCCAATGTAATACCGGAAGTGTCTTCTTCTTCTTCAGTTAAACGGCTGTTGGAAAACGGTGCATTACCGCCACCAACCTGTAAGGAGTTTGGCGACGTGGACAATTTAATTTACAGTTAAGACTCAAAAGGGTTTACTTGTGTGTTTTATCTGTAAATTAAGTTGTTTCATGGACTTTATTTTTTCATTTAAATAGCCTGCATCACACTTTCAAGAGACGTTTACCTAACAGAATAAATGAAAAGAAGAAAATGGACAACCATATGTTTATATTGTTGAGGTTTGTAAAGTCAGTAAAATTAAATATTTTATCATTATTGATGAAAAGTTGACATGAAAACCTCACATAAACTAAGAATAAAAAATAGCTAAATCTGTTGAATTGCTGTACAAAAAAACCAATATAGGATGTCACAGTGAGCTCATCCATGAAGTCATTTGCTAATCTGAAGAAGTTCCAATCTGTAGTTGTTCCAATCTGTAGTTGTTGGCTCTATTTTATATTTAAAGTATATGATTACAATTATAAATACCATTAGACTAAATGTGATTCCACATGTGATTATCATTGCCATCTTAAATGATCTTACAATTTTCTTACTTCTTTTGTTTGCTTTATGGTTTATCGTATGTGACCCATCACATCAAAATGAGGATTAAGTCAAATTTGGTCAAAATGAGCCCATTACATCTTCAGATTTGTGGCTTTCAAAGCTATATTTTGATACTGGATCATTCTGATATCAGAAGGGGATTCAGAGATATGACTTAATTTGGCTTGTTGGTTACAATAATACATTAGGCTATTATTTGGTCTGAAACCTAATTGTTTAAAATTTTAATAAGAATTTTTAAAAAAAATTAGGCTTTTTTTTTTTTTAGACAATTCAATCAAATGTTACACTGATAGAACATTTATTTGTTATATTTTGATAAAACGCAATTTTTGCAAATATTTTACTCAAAACACTTTTAATCCTCACTTCGATGTGATGGGTCACATATTACCTTTTATTGTACTTATATTAAATGAACAGTTTATAAAGTAGTTTAGTGAATCAGGTGTTTTACACCTAACTGCACATTAATATCATATACATAGAAAACAAAGAATTTGTTAAAAGATTTTTATTAACACACACAAAAAAAAAACTTCACTTCAAATACGTTTTGTCTATGCCTCTTGGAGGCTGCCTCATGCTGCATACGCCACTGGCCACCCTACGATATACCATTCTGCTCGACTTTTGTTGCAGCTGGGCAAGTTGGCATTGGCACCTATTCAAAATGTCCGTGAGCTTTGTTGCCCTCCATTCAGGTGGATACACTTTCCACGTTTGGCCGTTTTCACTGTCTGTCTCTTCATCGCTCATCAGACATGCAGACGCCCCTTCAAGATATTTGAACTC